GAGAGCAACTGTGTGCTGAAGAACTGGGGGGTACGGGGGAAGGATTGCAGGGTATATCCTTTGGTTGGTTGATGATGCATGGAAGGGACTGTAACCATGGCAATGAGACTATATACGATACAATGAATGTAACATTAATGTTCTCCCATGTAAACCATCACATAATGAACAATAAAACATTTAAGAAAAAAAGAGAGAGAGAGAGAAAGAATAGAGCGCTAAATGCTTTTAACTGTTGGTACATGGAGGGAAATGCAAACATGTAATGGAGCAAAGTGTTTGATGTGCTGAATGTGAAACTGATAATCTGCTCTCTGTAAACCTTCTCTCAATTCACAACAAAAAGTGAAAAAACAAAACAGGAAAAGTAAAAGGAGGAAAAGAAAAGATGCCCAATTATCTATGGTGTTTTCAGTAATTATAAATAAATTAAATTATATTGGGATATGTCTTTTATATAATACTGTCTCATCATGTACATACATATATACATATTACTTGTTAGGATACTGTGGTATGGTGCTGCAGGATAATGCACTGGACAGCAAGGTTGGTTTGAACAGCATGGTTGGAGGTTCAAATCCACCAGCTGCTCCTCGGAAACCCTGTACAGGGTCACTATGAGTCGGAGCTGACTTAAGGCATGTAACAACAACATTACTTGTTAGCAAATGTTTATCTGACCAGCTATTATGATTTTACTAAACAGGCACAAAGCAGAAGAGTCAGAAAGAAAAAATGTCTTGTCTAAGATTAATAGGCCAACAGAACTAGAAAATGAATGTAAGTTCTTGCCTTCTGATTCTGTTGCTTTTCTGTCTACTGACCCTGACAGCCAAAAACATATAAAGCTTTTAACCCTATTTTTTTCCCTCCAAACAAATTCTAGCAAAAATTCTAATTGACTTTCCCTTATCACTGGGACTCCACACTCCGCTGCTTTAAATAACCACTTAACTATTCCAGTCTCCTCATATTGCTGGTAACAGAGAATCAAGTGACATCACATCCCAATAACTTATGGTTAATGCATGGCAACTGTGAATATACACCATAAATGCCAATCAAATGAGCATATTTACTCTCACCCTTCTTCACACCACACTCCAGCTTGTTCCCTAATGAAGTAATAATACTGAAACAGGAAAACACATCAAGTACAAAGTTTCTTAAAAATACTTCTAAAAATGGACTCAGCCTAAAAACCCATCAATAAAAGAATGGATAAACAAACTTTGGTACATACACACAATGGGATACTATGGCAATTACTGAGAAATAACAATGACTGCAAAATATCTCATAACATGGATAAACCTGGAGGGCTTTATTGCTGAGTGAAAATATTCAATCACAAAAGGATAAATATTGTATGAGACCACTACTGTAAAAATTCAAGAAAAGGTTTTCATGCTAAAAGACATTCTTTGATGGTTACCAGAAGTGGGAGGGAAGGGAAAGTAACTCACTGACTAGAGGGTAGACACAGAATGTTAAGTGACGGGAAAGGCAGTATACAACAAGAGGAAATTTGGCAAAAGAATGATGAAGACATAGGCAAAGGTTAAAGGGAACAGAGGTAAATACTCATATATACAACTCTGCAACAACTGCGTTGTACATGGACACACAGGATGAATGGTATAGGAGGGATAGCGGGAGTATACCCACAAATTTATAAAGATTTACTCAGGATTTTTGTACCTGGGTATTTACCTTTGCTGTAAACACATCTAGGAATGTAGTAAAGCATACAAAGGGATAAATTATGAAAACTTCTTAATCATTATAAGAAGGATGAAAACTGAAGACGCTTGTGATCAATGGACTAATGCAACACGTGAAGAACAGTCTCCAAAATCCTGAGACCATCTGGTACAGCACTGTAGGATAAGCACTGGATTGCTAACCAAACCCAACAGCTAGGAAACCCAATACAGGGTTACTACAAATCAAAACTGAGTCAATAGCACGTAACAACAATGAAAAAACTGTTCAGAAAGAGACTAGAGGAAACTGAGAGACTAAGGCACTCAGCCACCCTTCAGGTGTGGAACTGAACTCACTTTTGTGACTCAATTTACATTCAGTGGCAGATAAGAATATGACACTACACTACTAAGGTATGCTCACTATGGAATGATCAACCATTCAAGATCAAAAGGGCAACATCTAACTAAAGACAGAGTTCAGAAGGGTTAGGAAGAAGGGTAGAGTGGAAATAAGAACCACAGGGAGGAAGTGGGGTAACTATTTTTACATTGAGGGGATTGCAATCAATGAGATGAAATAAAGTGTATGATTTGTTGAATGTAAAACTGATTATCTGTTCTGTAGACCTTCACTCAATTCACAATAAAAAGTTTAAAAAAAAATACTTTTGAGTTAATTTAGTTAAACTGGCTTTTTACAAGATAGTTTTACAAGAAAAAAATGATTCTGTACTATAATGTTGTTAATATACTATTTGGAAGTCAAGTAATACTCCATGTGAGGAATCACTAATTGTCTTTTTTACAAACAAAGAAGCCAAAATACAAGAACAGTGTCCTGTCTAAGGCCATTAAACAAGTCAGGAAGAAATCCTACTTCTTGTTCCCCATTCCAAACAGGTACATTTATGCTTAAATGTACACACAGTTGGGAGACAGATAATAAATTCCCAAAGTCTGTATCACTTAATGTAATTTTAAAGATATTCCTATTAACCTCTTTACTTCTTTCCAGTCAATGTCTGATCAAACTATCATGGATGGACATGCTTCAGTCCAAACATCAAAAACCAAACAGAAAAATGGTCTACAATATGAAATTGGGCTAATTCAGTTACTTTTTATTTTTATTACTTAAGTAGAATATTTTTTCCTTAAAGACTATCTATGCTGAATCAAAAACTGACACTGTATAGAAACTATACTAAAAAATATATATGGAATAAACAAAAATGAAAAAGAGCTCATCTAGTCAAAAGAGGATAGGGTGGTACCTGAAACCAGAATGACTTATGCAGGTTAATTTTATCTGTGAACCAAAACACATACTATCTCTCCTTTAATACAAATACTCTAAAGCATAATAGTCCATAGGCCAGCACTAAACGGTTATTCAACTAACAGGTTAACGAAAACAAAAATAATCCAGAAAAAGTATTTCAGCCCAATTTTAGCACCTGGTCATTTTTATGTGAATTATTGAAATCCAAGTCTCTTTAGAATCTCAAAGCACCAATTTCTTTTTGAGAAGCTGAAAATCTGCATCTCTTAAATGTGGTGAGACTAAAATGTTTCAGACTTTCTTCAAAGCACACCTGACACTAGAAGAAAGGTGGGTCTGATATGAGCGACTTCAAACACTTACATCTTCAGTCCAGTCTTCTGTTGTCCATTCTTCTACAGAACTCTTCCAGGCCCCTGTTAGGAAATAACAACAATCAAAGTTTGTATCACAAAATCAAACAGTCTCTCATCACAAATGATTCTCTAGTGTACTTGGCACAAGATAAATATCGTATTAGCAATTTTGTTCATGGTCCAAGAGGTAAATATAAGGCTTTTAACCTACTCTCAATAAAATCACTCAAATGCAACTTGCCTAATGTATTATACCCACAAAAGCAATGTCTCAAAAATCAAGACAAAATTGTATTCCTTCAATCTCTGTTCTTCCTATCCAAGCAATTCTGTCATGAGTAAAAAAATGTAGACAGAGCAAAAACATATATATTCAACAATGTCATAATTTCCTACAACATATGTAATTTAAAACAGAAAAAAAAAATCAATTTAAAGCAGGTCTGACTTGGATGCTACTTCAGACGATTACTGAATTATCGAGTTTAGAGAAGCAATTTAGATACTGAGCTCTGATGCACAAAGTTTCCTGACAGGTCTCCAACGAAGCAGGCCAGTACTCCTGCTCAGAGCAAGTCTGATGCTCTGACTCCTGAGGAAGAGATACATAGGATGTACTCAACCAATTTATACAGAACTGTTGTTCAGTGCAGTCAAGTAAGACCCAACTCATGGAGGCCCTATATACGGTTTCCAAGGAGCAGCTAGTGGGTTTGAAACCACTGACCTTGTGGTAAGCAGTCTAGTGGTTACCCTACAGCACCACACCAGGATTCCTTCATATAGAATAATTATCTGCAAAATGTTTTCAGTGTTAAAAGTGTTGATGCTTAAAAATGTAGATTTAATACTGAGAAACCCTGTAACAATACAGACCCATTATTTTAAAACATGAATACAAACATACTCAGAGAAAATAGTTTCAAAAGGAAATACAAAAACATTAATGGTAACTATCTCCAGGAAATGGGATTTTGTGGATGTTCTTCAGTTTTCTCAAAAAGAATCTGTCGTGCAAAATCCATTTCCCTTCCACCAAAGTTTATGTGTGTATATGTTGAAGGGTGGGGTGGCGGGGAGAGGAAGGTGCCACACACCTTGGATATGATAGGGCACACTCCTGAAGAAAAAAAGAACGTAGGTGATTAGGTGTAATCTTAGAAACAAGTTAATAGCCTAACAATCAAGCTTCTCATAAATAAACTTGATGCTGTTTGCTAGGAATAGAGTCCTTATCTATGGAATGACTTTATGGAATGACTTTAATAAGCTGTCTCTAATTTAGGGTGCTGGTGAGTAAGATGAAATATACTGTGGACTGCCAGAAGAAGGAACATAACAGCTTAGAAGAATTATAACCAGAAGAGATTTCACTTGGCTTTCTTTAAACATGTCATCAGGAAAGACCAATAATGGCCAGTGAAAATGAGGGAAAGCCTTAATGAGATGGACTGACACAACACTTACAACAATGAACTCAGATATGTCAAAGATCACGAAGATGGTACAGGATCAGGCAGTGCTTTTCTGTTACACTTAAGATTGCCGTGAATCAGAGGGAACTTGTTAGCAACTAATAGGTAAGGTACATGGCAAGTAAACCTGGGCTCTATGGATTGATGGAGTGTGGCTCTCTAGAAGATACAGATAAGCTATGTGACTACCTCTTAGTGCAGTGCTGTAGGATAAGTACTGGGCTGCTAATCTCAAAGTGAGAGGTTCAAACTTACTAGCTGAACCTCGGAAACCTTATACAGGGCTACTGTAAGTTGGAATCGACTCAAAAGCACTTAAAAACAACATACTACTACTATACAGGTATATAAAATGGAGATGTTTCAAAACCGAAACCATTACCTAGATGTCAGAAACCCATGCACCTAGAAGCCTAATCTATCATTCTGGATCTGAAGACATGCATTACTAGATGGGATGCATCTAGTACCCAGGGAGCAAATCTAGAACTTCTAGGCCTCTTCTGTGCTTCTAGATTACATATAACTTTGAACTATTTTAAAGTTTGACACTGAGAAAAGTTTCAGTATTTGACTTTAAAATGGGATCCTTTTTGTTGGCTCACTCAACCAACAAAACATATTTAAATGTTTTCCATAATTTCTCCAGAAATATAAAACAAAAATGAATTTCTGAAGCTCTACCAACAACCCTTCAACATAAATATTTTCTTTAACAAACGTAAAAAGATTTCAGTGACAAATGGAAGTTGCCACTAGTCCCTGTCGAAAGTGCTGGAAGCTTGTTCTCTAGTCCCTTGCACAGGCCTCTGAGAGAATGCATTCTACACAAAGCTAAATGAATATAAGAAAAACCTTTTAAAATACGACTTTTTCTTTTAACAAAAACATAAACACCAATCTTTAAATATATTTTCCTACAGTTTATTCTCTTAAGTATGTGTATAGATTTTTAAGATTACAACTAGACTCATGTTAACATAATGGTTTTTGTTTTTTGTGAATTGAGTGAAGGTTTACAGAGCAGATCATCAGTATTACATTCAACAAATCTTATGCACTTCATTTTATATCTATGACTGAAATTCCCTCACTGTAACATAATTTATCTCATTTCCTCCCTCCACCTTTCTCAACCCTTTTGGAATTTTTCTTTAGGTAAATGTGCCCTTTTAAAGGAGCTCTGGTAGCGTAGTGGTTACGAATCGGGCTGCGAACCTTAAGGTCAGTGGTTCGAAACTACCAGCCGCTCCGCGGGAGAAAGATGAGGCTTTCTACTCCCATAAGGATTTACACCCTCGGAAACCCTGTACAGGGTCGCTATGGGTCGGCTCCGACTCGAAGGCACTTAACAACAACAACAACAAATCTCAAATGACCATTCTACGGTGGCCATTATATAGTGCTGTTATCACTGCTATAGACCCATCTATTGCTTAGTTTAAAATTGAGCCAGAGGATAAGTTCAGTTCCAGACCTGAAGGGTGTCTGAGGGTCATAGTCTTAAGATTCCACTAGTTTCAATCTGACCAGTAAGTCTGTTTTTGTTTTAAGTGATTTTTGGGTTATGTTCCAAATTTTCTCCCACTCTAACCAGGTCCTTCTAACGTGGACATTCCAATTCAGGCAGTTGATAGTAGTAGCCAGGTACCATCTAGTTCTACTAGTTCAGAGTGGTGAAGACTGATGTTCAATGGTCCCTTAGTCCATTGGACAAATTGTTTCCAAGCGTCTTCAATTCTCATCACTGTTCTTTCCTCTGAATAGGAAGAGATTACTATTTGCACCTTAGATGGCTACTCATGAGCTTTTAGGATGCCAGTCTCTACTCACCAAAGTAGGATGTTTTTGTGGACTATATTAAGCTACTTGGCCATGGTGAACCCTCAAGACTATGGTTCTGAGCCACTAGGATCAGGGATTCATTTCCTAAAGGTATTTAGTGACATCTAAGAAATTTGCTTAACTTTGACCTCTTGTATGAACCACCACATTCATGGATGTTTTTGCAGCAAAGGTAAATATTGTTGCTGTTGTTAAATGCCGTAGAGACAGTTCTGACTCATAACAACCCTGTGACCCTGTATAGGGTGGTTTCCAAGGAGCAGCTGGTGGGTATGAACTGCTGATCTTGTGGTATGAATAGCGCCACACTAGAAGGTAAATTGTTGTTTTTAAGTGTAGAGTAAGTTTTGACTCATACCAACCCTGTATAGGGTTTCCAAGGAGTAGTTGGTGAATTTGAACCGTCAACCTTGTGGTCCAGTGCATTAACCCACATCGCCACACCAGGACTCCAATATAATATTCTCTTTAAAACCTATATATATTTATAAGTATAATACTCTCTTACACCTATTCAGTCTATATCCCATTATTGCAGGATGATATATATAATCCATGTTGTTGTTCCATCTCATGGGGACCCTGTATATTGTTTCCCAGGAGTGGCTGATGAGTTTGAACCACCGACCCTGTGGTTCAAACCAACCTTGCAGTCCAGTGCTTATCCTATAGAGTCATACCAGGACTCCATATAACCCATTGTTGTTGTTAAGTGCTGTCGAGTCAGTTCCTACTCATAGCAACCCTGTATAGGGTTTCTGAGGATCAGCTGGTGAGTTTGAACCGCCAACCTTGTTCAAGCCCCATAATTACAATGAGGAATTTCCAGGCTATCCTTATTTTGCTAAGTGTTTTTTATCAGAAAAAGGTGTTGTGAAATGTCTTTTCTGCATCAATTGATATGATCATGTGGTTCTTTTCCTTTGTTTTATTTATGTAACGGATTACGCTGACTGACTCTACAGTAGAGAACCATCCTTGCATATATGCTATTAATCCCACTTGGCCATGATGGTTTTTTTTTGTTTGTTTCTATGCTGTTGGATTCATTCTATTGATGAGGATTTTATTAAGAATTTTTGCATTAAGGGAGGGATACTGGCATATAATTTTCTGTTGTAGTAATGTCTTTGCCTGGTTTGGGTTATGCTCACTTCAGAAAACAAATTCAGAGTTTTCCATCCTTTTATGTTCTGAAAAAGTTTGAGTAGAATTGGTGTCAGCTCTTCTTTGAATATTTAACAGTATTTACCTATGAAGTCATCTAGGCCTGGAATTTTTTCCTTGGGAGCTTTATATTATTTGATTAATTTCTATTTTTTGTTTTTTGTTTTGGGTTATGTGTCTATTCAAAATTTTCCACTTCAATCTGTGTTGGTTTAGGAAGGAAATGTGTTTCTAGAAATTTGTTAATTTCTTCTGGTTTTTCAAATTTGTTGGAGTACTTCATAGTATTTTATTATCCATTTTATTTCAGTTGGTTCTGCTGTGACATCAACCATTTGTTATTCATGTCATTTGCATCTTTTCCTTTCTTAGACTTGCCAGTGGTTTTTGTTGATTTTATTAATCATTTCAAAGAAGCAACTTCTTGTATTTTTTCTATGGCTTTGTTTCATTCTTCTTTGTTTCATTTGTCTTTCTACGTCTGTTTCATTTATTTCAACGTTAATCTTTATAATTTCTTTATTCTGATGGCTGTAGGCTTACTTTGCTGCTCTTTTGATAACTGTTGGAGATGCTGAGGTAAGGTGTTAATTTTGGATATGTGCAATTTATTTATATAAATTGCTCTCTGAGCATTGCTTCTGCTGTGTCTGAAAGGCTTTTATATGTTGCAATTTCAATTTTCTTTGAAAAAAGGAATTTATTTCATTTAAAAATTTTTCTTCTATTACCTAGGAGTTTTCCATGTATTGACATTTTTTTTCCTCTTGATTTTCCTACTGTTGATTTCTAATTTTGCAGTATTGTGATGGGAAGATGCTTTGTCATTTTTATTTTGTTTTGTAATTTACTGAGGTTTGCTTTGTGGCTGAACTTAAGTGGATAATGCTGTTGCTGCAATCCCTCCCTTACATTCACCCTACCTCATGCTCATGCTGCCATAATCAATACAGAAGCTACAAAAAACTTTATTGTTTTTTTAAATTGAAGACTTTTGGCAATCCTGCTTCAAACAAGTCTATGGTTGCCATTTTTACAACAGTATGTGCTCATTTCTTGTCTCTGTGTCATATTTTGTCCCATTCTCATAGTACATCAACACTTTAGCACAAACAGTTTGTGGTAAACTACATTACATTTTAATTTGATTTTTTCATTAACTTTATAAAGTCCCCTTACATAGTTTAATGAAGCCCTGGTGTGATGCAGCAGGAAAATGTTCTGAACTGCAAGGTCAGTTTGAGCTGCAAGGTGGTTCAAACTAGCAGCTGCTCCTTAGAAACCGTATACAGGGTGACTGAGTTGGAACTGACTCGGCAGCACTTAATAACAACACAAGTTTAAAGAGAACTTTTTGTATGCAGTGGGAAACCAAAATATTGTGTGGTTTGCTTTACTGTGGTAGTCTGAAACTAAACCTGTAATATTTCCAAGATCTGTCTGTATTTTCATTGAAAGCCAATGACTTTTACTCAAAAGATAATGCTTGACCTAAGCAGTTTGGAAACTCTCTTATCATAAACAATAAACCAAAGCCTCAAAAATCACTCCTAAAATGTATACCACTGAATCAGCTGGGATTTCTAAGAAGCAAATTATGGTGGAATTTTCCTTAAGAACCCGACATCATCAATCATCAACCAACCATTATTGGGTTAAAAATCTCCTTATTACAACATATAATGCCTATGTTGTTGTTAAGTATGTCAAGTCAGTTCCAACTCATAGGGACCCTGTATAGGGTTTCCAAGGAACGGTTGTTGGCTGTAGGGTTTGAACCACCAGCTGTGTGGTTAGCAATCCAGTGTTTATCCTACAGTGCCATGCCAGGACTATGTTGTTGTTGTTAAGTGCCATCGAGTTGGTTCCGACCCATAGCGACCCTGTATAGGGTTTCCAAGGAGCAACTGGTGTGCTTGACCCACTGACCTTGCAGTTCAAACGGCTTTACAGTCTGGTGCATTTAACCCAAGGCCATAGCTCATTGGAAAGATAATAAAAAACACTGATATGTCAGCAAGCTAGTATATGATCAAATGATAAATGAAAGAACTAATTAACAGGAAGTTTGGAGGACAAAGAAGTTAATGAAAGCTAGAAAGGTAAAGAAAAGCTTTATGGGGAAGATGGAGCACAACAAAAAAGCTTGAATTCTGTTAACCACCTAAACAGACAGGGTTGTAAAGGTGGCATTACAAAAACTTACATGTAAAAATATTAAAATACATAAAACCTTAAAACATTCTGTACATGTATGCAAAGAGACTGGCTTACACTTGCAGGGCAAACAGGCCAACAAATATGGCTGTGATTAGAAATGCACCATGATAAATGGCATGGCCAACAACAGAAAAGTGGGTTCCGTTGTCGGGAGTTAAGACAAAGTTGCTACAATGACGCTCCAATTGCCCTGTCCCAAATACACAGACTACTGAAACATGCAAGACATGAAACAGAGAAGTGAAAAGACTCCATTCCATTTCATATTTTGAAATATTTAAATTTTACATTAAGAATTTGGTCCACATTACTGAATGTTAAACCTATAGGTTTATATATCACAAACATATGGAAAAACCAATGACAATGAATTAAGAACATAAGCCAACAAATTTCAGTTGATTGTTTTATATACAACTTAACTTTAACATTCAACCTCTAAGAAAAGCACTTAAAAGGCAGCCACTTAAGAAAAAAGGAAAACGGTAATGCATAATTCTGGGACCTGCCTTGAAGGCCAAACTGTCAAACAGTTCCATAAGCAGAAGTTGATTATCTTTATTTTATAAGTTGGTTGTAAAAATAATTTACACTTGCCTGGTGTGGCTCTGTGGGATAAGCACTGGACCGCAGGTTGGTCTGAACTGCAAAGTCAGTGATTCAAATTTGGGGCTCCTTGGAAACCCAATACTGGGTGGTTAAGAGTCAGAACTGACTCAATGGTAGTTAACAACAAAATCAATTTTTATTAGCTAGCTTTGATAAACATGGATGATATTTTAAGCATTTTACAAGAATCTAAATAAGTAAAAATTTAAAATAACACATTCATACCTCTGAGTCCAAAAGAACTTTTGTTTGTCAGATCCTGAGCTACCTTGTGAGTATTTGGTGCCAGTTCTGTGGACCAATGTAAAATGGAAGATTTTAACAACAAAGGTATCCATTAGAAGAGAAATTGGTCAACAAATAAAATAGAAAAAGGAAAACACCCAAACCAAGTAAATATATTGTTAGGCCATTATGAAGCTTAAAGGCTGATAATCCTGGAAGATGCAAATTACAACTATCTTTGTTCTCAATCCTGAGCCCAGCAAGCTCCCTTTCTACTTGTAAGAGTTTTTTGTTTTGTTTTGTTTTGTTTTTAAAGTAAAGTTATAAATTGGCATTCTGCATATACTTGGCTTTTTATAGTTTGGTTAATTGAGTCATTGAGCCTGGATTCAGAACTGTCTTAACAAGATACTACCGCTCAGTGAAGTCTCTCGAGAAATAGCCAGCATCCCATCTACTGATGAGACCCTTTATACTACTGTTCAACAAAAGCATTTTGCTTATCTACATGCTTGTCAGCAAGGAAACTGCTACTCTTAAATGAGGGGAGTGGGAAGAAGAAAAGAGAGGGGAAGAAAGAAATTTAAAAATAGTTAATCAACTTAATTCAAATCGTTCAAATCCATAAGGTCAGTGGTTCAAGCTCACCAGTTGCTCCTCAGAAACCCCTATATAGGGTCGCTATGGGTCGGAACCAACTTGACAGCACTTCACAACAACAACAACAGCAGTCTATAACTCCATGGAGCTCTGGTAGCATAGTGGTTATGCTAACCTCAAGGTTTGAGTTTGAATCTACCCTACCCGCTGTTTCGTGGATGAAAGATAAGACTTTCTGTTCCTGTAAAGATGTACAGCCTTGGAAACCCTATTCAGGGTCCCTATGAGTCAGAACTGACTCCATGGCACATAACCACCACCAGTCTATAACTCTACCACTCATCTGCCAAGTTTGTCATACTGTGGTGCTGAGTGATGCTGGAAGCAAGGTCACCTATGGTGGACAATTTTCAGAGGAGGATCCAAATTAAGACAGCCTAGGAAGAAGGAGCTATTACTTCTGAATGCTTAGCCACTGAAGACCTCCTGAATAGCAGTGGAACACTGTCAGATATAATGCCGGAAAATGAATACATGAATAACACCAGCATACGGAGTCCTGGTATGGCGCTGTGCCAGACTGCAAAGCTGTTTGCACTGCAAGGTCAGCAGTTCAAGCTCACTAGCTGCTCCTTGGAAACCCTACACAGGGTTGCTATGAGTCAGGTTCAACTCGATGCCACTTAACAACAATATTGTTAGATGGAGTGCTGGAAGATGAGTTCCTTAAGGTTGGAAAATACTCAAAATGCAGCTGGGGAAGAACTGCTTCATCAAAGTAGAGCTGACCCTGATGACGCATATGGAATGAGCCTTCATTTGCTGATAGGGCACAACTCAAAATGAAGACAAACACCTGCAAGCATCCACTAAAAATCAGAACATGGAATGTACAAAGTATGAATCTAGGAAAACTGAAAGTTGTCAAATATGAAATGAATGCACAAACGTTGATATTCCAAGCATTAGTGAGCTACAATGGACTGGTATTAACCATTTTAAATCTGATAATCAATGGTTTACTGTGTGGGGAATGACAATTCAAGAAGAATGGTGTAGTATTCAACATCAAAAAGAACATTCCATGGTCTATCATGAAGCACAACACTGTCTGTGATAATATCTATATGCTTACAAGGAAGACCAATTAATACACAATTATTCAAATTTAAGCACCAACCACTAAAGCCAGTGATGAAGAAATTGAAGAATTCTACCAACACCTTCAGTCTGAAATTAATCAAACATGCATCAAGATGTATTCATAATTGTTAGTTATTAGAATGTGAAGTTTGGAAACAAAGAGGAAGAATCTGGAAAATACGGCTTGGTGATAGAAACAAAGTTGGAGATTCCACGATAGAATTTTGCAAGAATCATGACTTACTACAAATACCTTTTTTAAACAACATAGTGTTTATACACATGGGTCTCACCAGATGTAATGCACAAGAATCAAATTGACTACATCTGTAGAAAGAGATGGTTTAAAAGCTCCACATTATCAATCAAAACAAGACCAGGGGCAGACTGTGGAACATCAATTCATATACAAGTTCACACTGAAGCTGAAGAAAATCAAAACAAGTTCATGAGAGACAAAATATGACCTTGAACATATATATACCACATGAATTTAGAGACCATCTCAAGAAAAGGTTTGATGCATTAAACACTGACAATAAAAAAGAAGAAGAGCTATAGGATGACACCAAGAATATCACACAAGAAGAAAGCAAAAGGTAATTTAAAAGACAGGAATGAGAAACAAGACAAAAATGGATGTCAAGAGAGAATCTGAAACTTGCTCTTCAGCATAGACACGCTGAAGAAATGAGGAAGTCAAAGAGTTAAAAAGAAAATTTCAAAGGGAAGCTCAAGAAGACAAAGTCAAGCTTTATAATGAAATGTGCAAAGACCTGCAAATTAGAAAACTAGAAGAGAAGAACATGTTCAGCATTTCTAAAGCTAGAAGAAAAAATGTACGCCTCAACTTGAAATATTGAAGAATTCTATGGGCAATATTGAAGGATTCTATGGGAAAAATATTAAATGATGCGGAAAACATTAAAAGAAGGAAGGAATGTTTAGAATCACTGTACTAAAAAGAAATGGTCAATGTTCAGTCATTTCAAGAGGTAGCCAATGGTTGCAATGAAGGCACTGGCAAAGAACAAAGTTCTAGGGATTGATGGAGCACAAACTGAAATCTTGAAACAAACTTATTTAAGCTCTGGAGGCACTCATGCATCTATGCCAAGAAATTTGGAAGAGAATTACCTAGCTAACAAATTGGAAGGGATCCATAATTATGTTCATTCCAAAGAACAGTGACTCAACGAAATGCAGAAAGCATTAAACAATAACATTAATATTACATGCAAGTCAACTTTTGCTCCAGATAATTCAAAATCAGTTGCAATGGCACATCAACAGGGAACTGCCAGAAATTCAAGCTGGCCTCAGAAGAGGACATGGAACCAGGGACATCACTACTGACATCAGATGGATCCTGTCTGAAAATAGAGGACACCAGAAAGATGTTTACTTGTACTTTATCGACTATGCAAAGGTTTTTGATTGTGTGCATTATGAAAACTTATGGATAACATTGTGAAGAATGGGTATTTCAAAACATTTAATTGTGCTCATGAGGAACTTATACATAGACCAAGGGGCAGTCATTTGAACAGAACAAGGGGATAATGAATGGTTTAAAATCGGGAAAGGTGTGCACCAGGACTGTCGCCATAGTTACTCATTCTGTATACTAAGCAAATAATCTGAGAAGCTGGATTATATGAAGAAAAACACAGCATCAGTATTGAAGGAAGACTCATTAACAACTTGTGATATGCAGATGATACAACCTTGCTTGCTGGAAGCAAAGAGAACTTAAAGTAACTGAAACAAATGAGCTGGAAGCAGACACAGACTTTCCAGTAGAAGAACAGACACTGGATCTGCCTGAGAAGGAATTCAGAAGAAAGATATAGAAACAAATTCAAATGCTCCGAAAAGGGGTGGAGGAAATAAGGACGAAGTCAGGAAAGTGCTACAGGAGCAATCAAACAAGATAGATACAGGACTGAAAACAATCCAAAACCTGCAAAAAGAAGTCCAGATGATTAATAATAAAATATCAGAAATGGACAATACACTGAAAGGGCAAAGGAGTAAAATGAAAGTAATGGAAGCCAGAACCAGTGAGCTGGAAGACAAATCTCTCAATACTGTTAAGATAAAAGAGCAAGCAGAAAAAAGGATTAAAAAATCTGAAGAGAGTCTAAGATTCATGCTGGATAACATGAAGAGGA